CCGGGCCCGGGCGAGGAGGCGGTGGGTGGAAGGGGGGGCCGCGCCGACGGGGCACGGCGGGGTCCCCACCGCGTTCCCGGCGGCAGCCTCCGGGAGGCCCCGCAGCTGCCTCCCTCTCAGGGGATGCGGTAGCATCCAGGGGATAGCAAGAGTGAAAGCGCGTTGTCCACAAAAACCGCAAGGTTAAGAGGCTGGAAGAACGGGGGGAAAACCACCCAAACCTGTAAACGCGGCCAGCTGGTGCGTAGGACACAGAAGAGGGAAGGCCGCGTTCGGGTCGGGGCTGCAAGACAGGCTGAACCCTGTCCACCCTCTCCCACGCCTGGGTAGCGGAACCCCTGTCCCGGACCGACCCCGGCTTCCCAAACAAAATCTTCCACCACCCTCACGTTGTACGGAGGACACGCTTCCTCCACCATCGGCGTTCGACGACGCTTCGCGTTGGAAACGCAGGTTTTGAATCCGCCCTTGCAGGTGGGTGGGCGAGAGCGGGAAGGTTCTGGATCGTAACAGCCGCATCGCTTAGACAGGCAAAAGGAGGGTAGCTCCAGTTTGAGTGAATTTCGGACAGCCGCTGCACAGGCGCTCCTCGGACTGCAAGAGGGCTGGCCTGCTGCGGAGTTACGTCCCTTGTTCCTGTAATCCCGTCGCCACGACCAGCCCCTTCGTTGCCCCAGTCAAGAAGCACTATTGCAGACTGGTGGCAGCTGGGTACGCAAACGTCTAAACGTCTTTCCTGCCTCAATTATTCAGCCAACCGATTCACAAGAACCTCGGTCATCCCCACAATCCTTACCCCCTCTTCAAATTTTAAATAAAACCAGCCAACGGGCCTAAAAGTTACATGGGCTAAACCAAACCAAAACCAAACCCCAAAGAGGTTTTCCTTTAAAAGCAGAACAGCTGAAAGCTCAGTTGCTTAGTAAATCTCACCTGCTTCAGATGCTTTACCAGCATCACGGACACTTAGTTGGTACTGTATCTGTCCAACTGTGATATAGGAATACTCTTTATACAACTATTCGTTGAACTTCTTGGGAGAACATTTTACTTAAAAAGGTAAAAAACAACTAAGCTTCTATGCAAGTTTGTGAAACGCAAGCCTTCTAAAAAAATCTTCCTGCTATTCTACAGGTACAAAACAATGAATTGAGAAAAACTGAGGAAACGAGGAAAAAGGAGCAGAAAACCTGAATATATCCCAACTGCAAGGAATCAAAGATATGCTGCTGACTGATGGAGATACAATTAAAAAAGACTTAGAATGATCACACTTTTAAAGCAAGTCAGAAAGTCTCCCTGAAGCAGAAAAGGACAGAGGGGGTTCTGCGGGAAGCAATACTGAGAACAGCTGTGAAATCACATTTTCTGATCTTCACTGGCAGGTCAGAGACCAGAATATACCAGCTAGGCTCTGCAGTGCTAGGGACATACTTCAGTTCTGCTGAAATCTAATTTTCTTAGAATCTGGATCTGAGTAGGAGCCTTGCACTTTCAGTTCTTTGGGTTTCTTTTCCCACTGCCATCCTTTTCCCAACACCTCCAGTACTCAAAATCACCACATAGAAAAACACAGCAATGGCCTCAAAGGGCCAATGTACAATGGGTGCTCCAAAGATATTTCAGGGAGGTAGAGGAGAAATTAAGAACATCTAGAGAAAGAAGAGAGGAACTGCCTTAGAATATGGTCACATCCTGAGCCGGCAGGCAAAGAAACATGATACGGGATCGACTGGAGGAACTCCAAAAACCCTTCCATAAAGCAAAGACTGCAACAGAGATGTAGAAGCTGAAACTGAAGTACCAAGTTTAACATCTTTACTATAATTCAGTTGTTTTATAAAAGAAACCCAACACAACTATTTTCTTGACAATAAAGAAAATAACTATGCATTGGTTTCACTGGATTTCAGCATAAACCGATTGTACAGGAAGAAAAAAGGACAACATCTCCACCCCAAAGAAACAATTTTTAGAAAGGTTTTCAAGTGTTTTTTTTTTTTTAATAAATGTGCTTTGTTCACAAAAAGTAGTGACATAAAGACAACAGAAACGTGAATACACATTTTCTTCCCTCTCCTCTCCAGCACCTTAAGAACGAGAGATCTCTTGCACAGTCGTAATTTTCGAATATTTCATAACCTAGAAACATTCTTCTTGCACCAAAGCCAAATATCCAACAACTCCTAGTATCACCACTTTATTGTTCAGGGAGGTATAAGTATTTATGTAAATCCCACTTTCCGCATCCACCACAATCTACTGTCCCTTGTAAAAACAAAACAAAAAACAAAAAACAAAAAAACCAAAACCCAAGTTGTTATGAATCTCAGGTCCCTAAACCACAAAAACAATGGTGTCACCAACCTGCCAAAAAGGCTTATATTTTAAATGTTAATATTTTAAACTATTTTTAGGGGATAAGTCTTGGTCTGAATTGCTTTTTTGTATGAATCACAAACCAATTTACATTAACCGATGCCAACATATATGTTAGCTGGTATATAACTTTTTTTTTTAAAAGGAGTATCAGTTAAAATGTTAGATACACTTTGAAGTATGCACAGATTAAGTTCCATAACAGCTGAATTTATAGCACCAATATTTTAGCTTTAACATGAGCACTGCTGGAGTCAGTGGTTAACTGGGAAGAAGAAAGGCTTTGAATGACAAACATTTTAGTGAAAGTGAAGGGGTAAAGCATTAGATGCAAATACTGACTTACAGCCAATTTTGAAGCCACTGTGTATTTCATTAGAGAAATATGCTCTGTAAAAAAATTAAATAAAGTCGACCATGATACTTGTATGTCTAAACTTAATTTTTTTTTTTTCACATCAGAATGTAATTGTTTAGTTTGTATATAACTGTATCATTCAGACTGAATAACAAATTTGAATCAGGTATTAGGGGATGCCTTAAATTTAAGGAAAGAGACACAAAAAGCTTATGTTAAAGAATAAAGCATTGCAGTCCAGATCATGTTTGAGTGTAAGCTGGACCAATGCGGGATGGCTCTTTGTAGGAAACAGTATAAAAGAAAAACAGGTAGGTCAAACCGTGACACTTTCAGTGCAAAACTTCAATGGAAGGACTAAGTTTCATTTTTGTAGCAAGCACTGTAAAATCCACACTACCACTTCAGTTTATCTGGTAACTTCTGTATTATAAATATAAGATGGTAGCTTAATATGGTGTAAGGTATATTTCATCACAACCACTATGAAACTATATATTAGTATTTTCTACCATTTTGCTGAAGTCAGTCTTAAAAACCATGATGTGGCACCTAGTTCATTTATTATTAGGCACTTTCATACAGATTTAACAGCCTAACATTCAAATCTGAAAATCCTGGCCATTATTTTTAAACGGAGGGAAATCTAAGCTAAGTACTGAATCTTCTATTTTTACCACTGAACAGAATTGTTTTTTTCTGCAAAACCTCACAAATTTATTACACAAATTAAAAAACTTAATAGATGTAAAACACTTCTGTTCCATCTCCTTACAGTGCAGACCAGTTTTCAGACAGCTATGGAGTTTTTATTTAACTAAACAGGAGGTTTGGGGGTCCAAATAAGCAAACAAATAGTGTATGTTAATTTCATTTGTGTGGTCTGAATACACAGCTTTGTGCAAATATGTGTATCTTTGAAAAACTTCTGTAATTATGTTCCTTTTTACAAAATCAGTCTGTAGTTACCGTATAACCTGGGAGGTCTACAAATAAGAACAATTAAAGAAAAAGTTGTTAAAATGCATAAATAATTTACTTTAAAACATGACAAAACCCACCCTGTTCCCCAAAAACCACAGTTTGACAAGAATACAGAACACCATCACTGGGGAAATACTGATACACGTTAGTGCTTGTACACTCATAAAATTGCAAAACCATGTTCCAGCTTTGAATTGAAACATAATTGTCTAGACGTACCATAGTCCTCTGGGGGAGAATAACCTCTTCGGAAATCTCATGTCTAACTACTATATATGCAATGAAATTATACAGTATGTATAACTATGGATGAATGTATTCCAGTGTTTTGGTGTTATCTTGAGAGGGCTGCAATAAACAAAATCAAATGTGCAAGCATTATAGTTTCTCCAGCCCAGGCTTAACCAGAGTGAAACAAATTTTGGGAAGAAAGTTTTGTTCCATAATTAAGAAGGGACATGTGTAACCAAGTGTCTTAACCTATCTGCACATTTAATTAAAGTGCAAATTATTTCTTCCTACATATACTTCTCAGAAGCCCACCAACTCCAGTGCCTTAAGCTCAACCACATTGAGTTAAAATATTGAAACAACATTTAGCAAATTAAATAGAATTCACACTTCACAGCACTAAAGAAAAGAATGGTACCTTTCTGGAAAAAAAATTAGTGATACAAATCTAAAGAAAGTAACAGCAATTTATGCTATGACATGAGTCATTTGCATAAAACTTGTATTTTTCACTTTCATACAAGAATAAATTTTAAAATTCAAAAGTAGAAAAAAATAGCAAACTCTGTAAACCTTTGCATTTTCTTTATGCAAACCATTTTTTGTGTGTTGAGCCCATGTTAGTATAGCAAAATTAGTTAAGCAAGAGGTTTGACTGAAAGGGCATTTCAATGACTACATTAACTTAGAAGCAATATAGGATCTTCTAGCTCATAGAAAGGAATTGAACTAGACTGGCTTTCTCCAGAGTCTGAGTCGTAAGGAGCATCTGGTAGCTCCATAAAACCATAAGCTAGCTGTTCATCTTCTGTATCTGATCGAACATAGCAGGAAGTGTTGGAATACTCCTCATCCTCTATACTGTTGAAATCCTGTGGGATATACAACATTCCTGGGTAGTTCCTGCTAACCAAGTCACTTGTTGTTTGCAGGGAAGTTTTCCTAAATGCCATCAGGTGCATGTGAGAAAACTTGGAATACTTGAAGCGTTTAAAACCCAAGGACTCTATGGCAATTTTCCAGCTTTTCATCATCATAGCCCGGCGATTCTGATGAGATGAATCGGGAGTTATTACAAGCAATAAGCCATTTAGTACGAGAAGTTCATGTGCCTTCTTGCAGCATATCCATCGTTGGTAGGGTGATGGAAAGTAAGAAAGGAGCAGCGAGAAAACAACAACATGAAACAGTTCTCCAGGTAGAGAATCAATGGGATTTTTCAGTTGCTTAAGAAAGGCATCTATAGCATCTTGTGCCAGTTGGAGAGGTTGCTGGATTTGAAGATTTAAGAAGTCACATTTGTACACGCTCTGGTGGAATAAGAAAAACAGAAAACCAAACAAACATCAAGGTTAGTTTAAAGAGCAAATACAATCCACATCCACAGAAAAATCAATGACAACTTCTCCATTCCCTTGAGGAAGCATCAAGCCTGCTGAACGTTCCTCTTGCTATGAAATCAAACAATCTAAAATAACAGTTAAACACATCTTGCTAGCTTTTACAGTTGCAAAGAAAAATTTTAGATGTGCAGTAGTCTACTGGAAATTTGATAGCCGATTACTGTTAATTTAAAAAACAAACAAACAAACCCCAACAAATTTAGCGTAAATAGAACAAAGTATCAAATCAACTCTCTCACAAGCGATTTAAGAACTCAGATAAGCCTACATTGCTTTTGTTTCTCCAGATGCTGGAAGCCTTTCGTAGGTTTTTATAAACCTGAAATTAGTAATTAGAAACTAAATTTGATACCTCAGTATTTCCACCAGTTCTTCAAAAAGAATCCAAGAAACTTAGTACTTTGGTCACTTGAAAAAAAAGTATCATTCTTTACTGGTACAGAACAAAGCAGCTACGGCAAGACAATATACATTAGAAAGTTACAGTACACTAACTGCTTTGCAGCAGTGATGCAGGTCCATGTTTTAACCTTGCTGTAAATGCAAAGTGTAGCAGTACACATTTGGGCAGTTATCAAAGTAAGGCAACGGCTACAAATTCATCTGTTGATCATTCGTGCGCTCAAGCTGTCAAAGACAGGCAATGGCACCACAAAGCAACATAAAGAAGAACAAGTTCTTAACATCCTTAATCACAGAGCATTCAAAAAATAAGAATAATAGTATGCTATTTGCTACATTTAAGTTCTGACACTTTACATTCATCAAAACCTGGGACTGACTTCTTTCATAAAGAAGGTATTAAGATACAGGTTTTGACATGATAGCAACAAAAATTGCTATTAATGCCTAGAGAATGTGCAGTGAATGACACTCTAAACAGGTAAGTGAACATGAAAGCAGACACAAAACATTGTGGAGCCCATCTGAAAGCTGGAGTTAGATCTGCTGCATTTTCATACCACAAAAATATTTATAGCATGTTTTATGAAGTAATACTCAAAAAAGATCACTAGAACACTATTGTAAAGGTATTCATAAAGCAACTGATACACAAAATTGTTTCTAAGTAGAAGAGAAGGTTATTTCTGTTTATATAAAGTCACATTCTCTTCTGAGACTATGCAGTGAATTAGAAAAAGTTATCAACATTAAAAAAAAAGATCTGTGATTTATTTTTCAGTAGCTTTAATCTTGGCCTCCAATATGCAAAAATCAAGAAAGAGACTTGCATTATGTGGCTATAATCAAGAAATTTTAATTGCAACCACTATATCTGCAGGGCTATATTCTGCTTCCTTGTAATACTTAGAACAGGAAATTAACAGTAGTAATTTCATGATATCCTCTACTAAGTTTTAAAAGAAAGAAATTATTTGAAGAATAACTGTTCAGAGTAACATGCTAATTTTACTTAGATGCAAAGCTTAAAAAGTTAGAGGTTATACATATACAGTTGAAAAAAACAATTTAGACTGCAAGTCTTTCTAAACCATGGAAAAATACTCATAAAACAGTTATGTAGAAATAATGTTAAAGACAATTTTGGGACTAAAGTATGTTTTGAGTAGAATCTGAACTCTGCAGGCAGTTTTAGGACAAAAATGCTGCTAAACTGGAAATTGCTACTAAACTTTAGATACACAAGTCTTGAACTGATGTTAAAGTCCTCCTAGACACAGAAAGAGCAGTTGTATTTCAGTGCATCCACTGACATTTAAGAATACAATCCTACTTGTATATTCTAATTTTTAATTCCAGTACCCTTCCTGCCTCTTTTGTCTCAGACTATATTTACTCCAATACAACATCTGCTGCATATTCAGCATGTTTTGCAGCAGTATGAAATTGTATTTGGATTTTCCCAAAGTGGAGATTCTCCCTGCATTACAAGTTTGCCATCTTTCTGTCATTTTTTTTTTTTTTTTTAATGTAGACAAATTAAACTTCTCTATGAAAATAACCACTGCTAATTGTACTCTGGAATATCTGTGTTACAAGCAGAATGTTTGAAGGAATAGCCAGCAAAAAACCTGGGTCAAGAAGAAACCTGTTCTGTTTACCCCAGTCTCAGTTTCCCTCCTTGCTCATTTCTAACACTGCACATTTCCCTTAGTATACCTTACACCAAAGACACTGAAAATGAGTGAATAATGCCTACAGAATACTAATCTTGGTGCAGTTCCCCTCCCCTTCAAAACACAAAACCTTTTAATGGAAATAAATTTCCATTTTCTTATGTCTACAGTTTACATTCTCTCTATATGAAACAGAGATTCTAAACATTTTGAAGACATTAATTCTTTTATTATATAACTAACATTTCAGTTCCTTTCCTAGTTTTATCACAATTACATCCCTCTTATTCCTCAAATCAGCCAAAGTATTTTACTCAACTACTTAGGCTATATCCAAAGCATTTCCATATGCAGAAAGTGGATTAATCTATTTTTATTAAAGAAGGAATTATTTAACCCTCTATTCAACTTTATTCAAGAAACTGACTTCCTAAGAAGCCTCTATGCTTCAATGTGTTTCAAAAAGCATTTGGGATCTTACCTAAAAGATCTGCTAAATCAGAATATTTTACCAGTTCTTCTATTTTCAGCTTCTACCACTGAGTCGTCAGATCAATTTTTCAGGTCAGAAGATGATATTAACTACCATAAGAACACTCTGGCTGTTATTCTGAAACCTTAAGTCAGCCCAGGCAACTGCTGGCCTAAAGATAAATTTATTCAGGAGGTTATGGTGCTGATGCTGCTCAAAGTAGAGTCAACTTGAATACATCAGGGCTTATTAATTCTGTTTTGGAGACAGGCCTAAGCTTATTCTAGCAGATGTGTTTGAGTGCACAAACTCTACTCCATGTCACTCCAAGAACGCTTGCTAGCTAGGTTTCAAGGTGCCCTGAACGCATCAAAGTCTCCAAAAGAATGGAAGTAAGAGAAGCTGGTGAGCCTGAGACAGGCCTTACAGTAACTACATTGGTCTGTACAGTAGCACTCCAGGGACTTCCCTATCATCAAGCTATGGTACTAACTATTGTCACATGACAAGAAATCAATTATCTTATCGTTCCCTTGTACTGGGAGAGAGCCTGAAGAACTGGTTAGTACACAGAAATTGCAGCTACCTGACTACTCCCTCTCCTGGTGTCTGGCATGGATTACTCACATTCCTCCATTACATCTGCAGAAGTAACCTGTCTGGGACTCATCCAGTAGTGGTTTTGGTCACTGTACATTTAAACTGATTTTCATGAGAACAAAATTAATTTTCTTATGAAAGCAGCATGATAGATTAGGTAGCAAAATATTAACTAGGCATACCCCAAAATTAATGGTTAGATTCAGCTCATATAAGTTCAGGTGCCTAGGCTGCCATTATAGTCACTGGAAAGCGAGTCAATACAGCCCACGAGGTCAGAACACAGCTCACCTGCCGTGAAGCAGCAGACGTTTAGGTTTTACTGATTATTTTTAATAGATCTCCACTGACTGTAATTGGAACTTGGAACCCCAGATGTAGACACCCATGATCTATGTATCTTAGCTGGAAATTTACTTGCCATGTATTACCATTTTAGATGCCACAGGCTGCCACTTCAGTGGCATGTGTCTCCTTTACATCCTGTGTCATGCCCAATGGCCCTATGCAGAAGTCCTACAGCCTCTTAAGTGGTAGAAGGCAATCACGATGCCTATTCTTCAAATTAGGCAAGGTGGAGTCCACTCAAAGTTTCTTTGTGTTTTAGATGACACTAAAAGGCAATTTATCAGACTCAGATTTTTTTTTCAAGAATATCTTTCATTATCTCTAAGCATATACGCAAAAATATAAATTAGGCATTAGTGGACTAAACCTGGTAACCACAACAAAATACCATGCATTTAGCATGTAAACCACACTGCAGCAAATAAGAGAACATTACTTTCAAGTTAAGTGTATTATTGTACTCATACACTTCTCACCTCTCCACTTCTAAAGAGAGTTACCTTAGGCCACTGATTTTAATAGAGCCTGATTTTAAACTGTAAGTGGTCAAGATGGGTATGGTCAAAGTTTTTTCTGTTTTCTGTCAGAAATGTATTCCTTTCTGTATCTTTTCATTTTCATTCCACTTTGTCATTTTGCTTGGTTGATAAATGCTATTAGGACTGACGAAAGAGCAAAAGACAGAAAGAACACATGATTGCAGCAGAATTAATGCATTTGAAAACTTTATCACCTAGAGAAAATGAAGCAATATACCCCAAAACTGCTGATAAATTTGGCCTCACAATTGCGGAAGTTCAATAATATTTCTAGCAATAAACAGAAAAGCCCCCTTACAATGCACTTGTGGTTACTAAAACTCACCAGAAAAACTCACCAATTACAGTCACTGATCATTTCCTTCTGTCAGCAAATGCAGCTTCTGAGAAGTTCATGCCTAAGCATAAGCCTACTCAATTTTTATTTATGCCTTTCAGGATTCAAGGACTCACCTAAAATGCCATTAAAGGTGGCTACTAAAATTTTCCAATGTTAAGATTCACAACTGCATTATAAATCATAATTCTTGAAAAAAAAATCAAATTTTTAAACCAAAACACAACTACAGTTTAGAGCCTGTTCATGGGAAAGGATGTAGTAGGAGGGCCACAGTTCCTATTAAAGTACAGATATTTAGGATGCATACTTAAGTATTAAACTTTTTTTTACAGTCATTTTGAAGCATTCTAAAATATCTGAGAATCAAATTTATATTAAATTTAGCAAACATTACATACCTCAACAGCTGGAACAATATCTATGCCAACCGTCAAAAATTCTTCAAACTTCAGAAATGGATTAAAGCAGCTACCAACATCAAGTAATCTGATCTTCCCCAAGGAGTGGAGCAATCTAAGAAGCAGCAAGAATTCAGTTTTATCAAACATCATTTTTGAAGTTATATTCTGAGTAACAATTTCAGATAACTAACGCAAAAAATTTCTCAAAAAACACAACAGTAGTGACTAACAGAAGTGAATGCCTTACTTGAATTGCTGAGATACCTAACGAACCAAGCTCCATCAGTAAAGCAAATGGTCCTCAAGCAGAAGAGTTATGTTCAGAGCAGCTGTAATACTATTAACTTGTGTACTTGTTGTAAGAAACTAAAATGGCAACTTGTGTGTCCACTAGACAGGCTTTCTCTATTACTTTGTGTTTCCCACTTATCTTTTTGTCATATTTATTGGTGTTGAAGTCACACAAGTCACCAGAGTTAAAAATTCAGTTTAAACAGAGAAGCTGGCAACACTCAATGACCTACCTACTTGTCAGTCCCATTTTAAAGAGCATCTGAAGTGCCATAATTGGTTTAATAAAGACAAGAGAACACATAATGGTATTCCAAGGTGAGCAAAAAAAAAAAATCTAAAAATGAAAGCATTTAGTTATTCCCTGCAAAAATTTTAAAACATTTTATTTGCTTTATGTAAGCGAATATTTTTTTTAAATGGATGACTGCTGGAGGTTCACTCCAATTCTATTTTCAATGGATGCTGTGAAAGAGTTTATCAGTCCACGCAGAGCCACAAACTTAAAAACCGGCTGCTCGAGTTGTAGGTAAGTTATTCTAAACATCTAAATGAAATGAAGTATTCCCTCAAAACTACTTGGGAAAAAAAAAGTCTATTTCATGCAAGGCAATCAGCTTCTTATGAGAAATAGTCAAAAATAGCCATCTGGTTTAAGAAAGAGTCCTAATCAGAGTACTTCTGAAGTGCTCAAAAGCAACGATTTATCTCATAGGAATTCTGGAGAACATTTTAGTAAGCCAAAAATCTGTCTCCTTATCTGCCACTGCATGATGACCCTACTATTCAAGGTGAAATTATAGGTAGGAAGGCCAATGGCTGTAATGCTAAATACTTAACTATGCTACCAAACAACAAAAGGTGAATGATTAAAAAAAGGGGGAGGAGGGGATTAACTTGAGAAATCATGACTTACTGCTTAGAGTGATAGAAAGAGGTTGACAGACTGTTGAGGACACTTTAAAACTTTAGTTCCAGAATGCTGCAGAAATGCATATACCCTCCCAAAACATCACAGAAAATGAAAAAACCCAACCCTCACACTGGCCAATCATCTGCTCAACCAGATTTCCAAAACTTCCTGGAGTAAAAAAAAAAACCTAAATGGAGGAGTGGGAGATCAGAAAGAAGACAGGCCGAAGAAACGAAGACAGGACATTCTTTTACTGTCTGGTGGAAGCTCCCATTATAGCACAGCAGAAGATATGCTAGAGGCTGGCAGATGAGATTTGCATTTTCTTGGGAAGCTCTGACATCATCTGTGACGCAACTGCAAAACCAATCTGAAATGCCTTTATGAAGCTAAAGACTTCATTGCTCTCTTCTTTAAGTTAAATATATAGTTTTAAAAAGAGATGCCTGGCAACTTCTGAGGATAGTGACTGCAGCCTTGCCTCTGAAAGCATCCTTGTCGTCCAAAGGATAGTCTCCTAGACCGATGCCTAGAGGAACATTTGTGGTCTTCAAGTTTGCAACCATAAGCATTTTCTTCATGACTAAACCAGTTACCAGTATATATAACGTAGTATCAGATAAGATCAATGCACCTGTACATAAGTACTGGCAGTCAGTTATCTTGTCCACATTTAAAGGTTTTGCCTTGTCCTGGCACTTATTTTGCCTAACCTGATAAGCTGTCCCTCTTAAATGAATTAGAACTTGAATGCTGCACTCAGTTATCACTAATATCAAGGACTCAGCTGTTGAATACATCCTACAATCAAAGACATTGTTCTTTAGTTTTTTAATTTCCTCGCATTCTGAATTTGGAGGCCCCTGCTGTTTATTCTTTCTTTGCAATTGCAACAAACCAGTAAATGCTGGAGTTAAACAATTCTGTTCAAGTCCACTAGTACAGACTTTACATCCACCTATTCTTTAAATGCCAATTTGATGAGTGCATCCACATATCAAAAATATAAAAAAGATACACAGCACCACTAGCACCCAACAGTTTGAGCTCGTTCTATTAGACCATTTATGGGGATGCATCTAAAAATTTCCATCATGACTTGTAAGATCTTAGAACACCCAAAATCCATTAATAGAGGCAAAAAAATGTGAACTCGTAGCTTTCACAGGGAATTCACAGGGAGGAGAATGATAAATCTCCAGCAAGCAAATGTTGCTTTTTGCTTCAAGTTTCTGTAGCCAATTCCAACTGGCATCTCCAAAATATCGCTTGTCATCTTTCTGGGAAAGATTCAGCCCTAGAGAGACAGATAACTGCAAAAACTTTCAGAAACAGATCTGCAGGGCCAATGGAGTCCAACAAAGCCGTGGTTGTGCTTATAGCAACAACAAAGCAGTAAGAAATACTGCAGGAAAAAAATATCTTTAAGCAGTAATAGAGAGATCTGGGCTCTCTGTGCTCCTCCTAAACTCCCAGTGATCTACCACAGAGAGGATGCTGGAGAAGCAAGAGGAAATTTCTTGTTGCATTTGGCAGAATAATAATGCCAAGTTTAAGGATTTTGCTTCTACATGGAATAGAAGATATCCAGGGGATACTTACGTCAAAATACCAGCATCACCAAGGCAAATAGTGCAATAATTATCTTTAAGTTAAAACCGCGCACATTACCAGGCTGTCCTGTAAGTCAGTCAGTACTGACACTATTTCAGAATGAAGATGATCACAACATAATCTGTACAACAGGAATTTAAATACTGCAGAGTGACCATTCAGATCCTAGTGGCCATAAATCACAAACATGGGCTGAAGTCAAGTAGTGTCTTTTTCCACGCAAGGCTAGTATGAGGTTTCTCAGACCAGCACATCTGTTTTGTCTAGCAAATGGAGACACTAATGGCAGATTCTCTCTCATTCAAACACAAACACATGTGTCTGGTAACAGCAATAGAAGACACGTGGGACCACAGGAAACGCAAGAGGGAACGTGACTGTAGTGCAGAGAAAACTGCCTCTAGAGATCTTAACATTTTCCATTTAAAGTGTTGAGTGAAATACTTGTACAGATTAAAATTAAGCAGCACAACCCAGAACCCTCTAATCTCCAGGAGAGCCCATTTCACCTATGGCAGAGTGGAAAAAAAAAAAAAAAAAAAAAAAAAATCACTGTGATGTGATATTCTGTCTTCCTCTCTTACAAAGCCTGCATTCTTGGCTGCAGCGTTATTTTTGACTGGGTGAAGGGGCACACTTCTAGAAAGCTACAACTCTGGATTCCTAGCTGACCAGATGCCAGAAACTCTCTTCTGCACTAATGGACAACAGATCTAAGGGATCTGATACAGGGCAAATTCACTCTGATAGGTGTGTCACATCCAAGGAACCTTGTAGTCTAAGTTCAATGCAAATGTACTTTGAAACCTTAAAAGTAGCAGAGATTCAGATGCTCACTTGTGTCTTGACTTCCTGTTGCTTGTCAGGTTTTGCTGCCTCTCAGAACACAGGTGCAATGAGTCGCTTAGTAGCAATTCTCAGGCTCCCAGTTATCAGTTAGGTGCTTGAAATAATTTTGAAGGTCTTCAGAAGCACTTAGATTCGGTCACTGAACATATACAGAGAACACAGACCATCGATTCAAATGGTCTGAAGACCACTGGTTCAGATACCTACTTTTTCAGCACTGTAACTCTTAAATCAGATTCCTCATTAAAGGATATAACTTATCTAGGTGACAACCACTGATCCAGTGAGCCAATGACCTTGTTAGAAGCGTAGTCTTGCTGAATTAATTGATAATCACCCTTCAACCTCCTGTTTCCTAATGATTTTCAGTCAAGGCAACATTAAAAGCAAGGGAAGTACTTTGCTACTGTAGGTAATCTCCAAGCACATCTTGGATCCACAGTTCTCCAATGCATTAATGTACAGGTAGAAAAACAAAATGTGAATAGTTAAAGATCAGGAACTGGTAAAGAAGTATACATAGCCTGGGAAATGAGTGCATTTTAAATATATCCCACACTTGTTTATTTCAAGAACTTTATTAAATGGACTGCAGTTCTTGATTATTAGCCCCCTTAAAAATGCACCTATTATTCAACTATGTGCTGTACAGGTAAGTGACATTTTCTCTTCGAAGTAAATAGAAATAGAGCAGTTAAAGTGACTTTCCTTATGGTCATGCAGTTCTGAAATTAATCACTTCAAGTGCTGATCTCCTAGTTTACAGTTTTAAATTATTATTTGTCAAGGATGGGAGGGGAAAAAAATTCTGAAGCCTTATGCTGCTGTCAGAAGAGCTATACATCTGGGTCTGAGTGGCAACACTGGTATGCCTCAAATCTTCCGTAACATCCACACATAAAGATATCCAATGGGAAGGTCTAGCTTGCTGAGATACATATGAAAGAAGGAATGATAGGTTGTACCATAAGAGACAGTCAAATGAGCACCTGAGAAGAATCCATACCAAAAAAGTTGTGATTTTTATCATTAAGCATAAAAAGCAGAACTGCTTAATTTGATGGAAAAAGAAGAGAAACAATACTCGAAAAGAGAACAAAGAGGGGACTAATTTATTGAAGGGAGGAGCTGTTAAACAGTAGATAACAGCCACTTTAATCTTGCAAGACTGAGCCACTTTGATGTCCAGCTTCACAACACGGGCAGTTATAATGTTAGAGACATAAGAACTCATTCTGGGATGGAAGGAAGTACTGTGGACAATACAACACTTTTCATATAGATCAAAGTAAAAAAGGACTGTTCACATTAGTTATTTCTGTGAGACTCACCAATTTTAATCTGGCAGAGAGGTGGGCAACATGAGCAACTGGAAATGGGTTCATCAAAATAGCTGACTGACTTTCTGAGTTGCGCTAAACTTTGCACTTCTGGTTCCTATGATGTTTCCTACCATCACCTTTAAGAGCTGGCTGAGTGCTTCCTACTTCTCTCCACATCTCCCAGCATCTTTTTTACTACCAGTGGAACTTTTTATTCCTGAACTAGCTTTGCTCCTTACCAAGCAAAGTACAGTCTCTCTATGATGGCATGCCAATAAAGGTAAGCTCAGAAAGAGCTCCTACATAAGCAACCTGTTTTTAATACTACTCAAGAGAGGATTATATATGGGAGGAACAAAATTATTGTCTTTACACTTACTAGAGTAAAACAAAAAGTCACAGGCTTAGCCATACCTATAGACAACCCCACAACTCTTACTTGTAGCGTTACATGACCAGAATGGAGTGACAGTATTTGAACAAATATGTGCGCGCGCGTGTGTGTAGGTTCTCCCACACCTCTTGTACCAAGACCTCACCAAGATTCAGACTTCACTAATTGATCAGTGTAGACATGGTAGAAAAGCATTTCAGGAGGAAAGTATGCTTTGTGTAATATGCAATCCATTTTCATTCTGATAAACTGTAATTTCTTTTACAATGCATAGAGGAAGAAATTGAAATTTGATTTCTCTGAGTAGTAACTTAGAACAGCTATGCCTTGTTGCTTTAAGGTCTGTACAGCTACTAAAAACCTTACTATCATTTGTTGCTTACTCAGGTAAATATTATGAATCTTGCCTTTGCCTGGTATGCCTTTATGGATGTATGTATTTTTAAAGTTTTGAGAGTGAAGATAAAAAAAAATCACCATCACTCACCATATTAACAAATACTTTTTAAATTATTTAATAAAAACTTCCCTATTAACTACTGTCTATACTCACTAGTCAGAATAAAAGGTAAGGCTACAGACTACTAGTAGCAAGAAGAAACTCATGTGAATTAGCTCTGCAACAGCCACTATAAACAGTACGAAGTATGAAGACAGAGCACATGCAAAGACAGAGCTAATGCTTTACCATGACAAGGCCTCCCACTGGAAGACAAATCAGTTTTAAGTAGTGTATGATCATCAAACCTATTGATTTAAATAAACAAGTACCAACAAACTGCTATTTATAGTAATGCTAAAATTATGTGTTAGCAAATGCCAGCATTATTGAGATGTTATAAGGTATTAGTAACTCATCAGCCGTTTGTGCGAAAGTGCCTGGCAGTTCTCATTAAGAACAGGTATTCATTTTGAGGCTGCCTTCGCAAAATGAGCACTAAAAAGAGGAGTCTGGGGGAAGTCAGCTTGTGAGAAGCCACTACTTTCATTTTGGAAGCATCTGTTTTGTCTTGTCATAATAGGACAACAACAGGGAAAATGTTTTTGGTTTGCATGTAACTATTCAACTACATAGGTATTTGGAATCTTTATGCCCTTTGCAAGTTACTTTACAAACATGAGAAGCCACAAAAGACCCATCTGCTAATAACATTAGTAACATGCTTGTTCCTTTCCTAACTAATACTGTATCTAACTTAAGTGCTGATCACACAAGACATGCTACAATATTGAGAAAAATCTCTTCACAGAACAGAAAAAACACAATTGCAGACAGTTGTAAGAACTGGTCTATAAAGAATATGAAGCAAGTTGTAAGTGTAACATTTAACGATAATATGCTTATGCATTCATTATTCCATTATACTTGCAAAATATTACATTCTTTCCATCACACATGGAATAGCCACAAACATGACCCATGTTATTTAGGAAAAAACGGAGGGTGGGACTGTAACTGAAATAATAAAGCTACTCCTGAATGCCAAAAATAACATTCTTACTCAAGTGAAGGTCAAAAACAAAATTAAAACTGTTGTTAGGAAAATACCTCAAGGATACTACAACTTCTGCAGAGCCAGTCATCAGAAAGCTAGCACATTTAAAATTAAGGGTTATAATTCAAAATTGCTTTTGAAGTGTATAATTGGAATCAAGAGTTTCTCTGCAATTATTTATGAAGAGAAAGTTTTAAGTACTCTGATATTTACATTTGGCACTTAGTACTTACATAAGCAATTGACTTTTCAACAGTGCTGAACAGCCATTAGATTCTAACTTAATTAACGTCTCCCTTATTTCACCTCAAGGTTTAATATAAATTACATTGTACACCAATGACATACAAAAGTGAAATTGCTCTAACACTTAAGTGCAGATGACCAAGTTGTCATTCTCAAGCAACTTTTTTATGGCATCCACCAAAATATACAACATAAATATTTCTTGAAACATGTATATATTCACATGAAAATGCCCTTTCTTAACTATTAAAAATACATCAGACTGATCTAATACATTATGGAGAAAAAATGTCCAGGTAAACCTTATCACACAAACAGGGGCAAAAAAAAAAGTCTGGAAAACAAGTAAAACTTACTCTTCTGTTATAGCTTCATGATTCGTCAAGCCAAAGTTTGGCAAGGGATCTTCAATCTTGGGAGCCTGGGGAACATTTAAAGCTGGAGTGGTCTTAGAAGCAAGAAGTGCTCTTTTTTCATCTTTCTCAAGTGCTTTTCTTTTCCCACCATTCTGAAAATATTCTCGGCATACACTGAAAAGACAAAAAGAAAATATTCCCCAGAAAAACAGAATGCTATTTTTAGTCATTACTATAGATAAGACACAAGACAGAGGTTTAAAAGAGACAAGTGCTGTCAGCTTTTAAACAAATCTGGGTTTTACTGCAACTTTGGTAAATCAGCTTTAGGAAAGATGCAATACACCCAAAGACACACTTGAGGTGGAGTGGTGTTTTATTTCAAAAAATTAGGCCATAAGTCACAGTCAAGTAAACAGATTCAAAATAGTTTTATCTGGATAGACTTTCAGAGCAAGACAGCAGAAGTCTTGTCAGAACATCACCAGAGGGTAAACTTCAGCTGTCACCTAAGCACCGCAGTTCTCCACTAAGGTGCAAAGTTACTAACTAGCTCCCCATAAATGCAGGGGCTTCTGAAACATCTGTGTCTTGCAAGGCACGTAATGTGGGGGAAAAGAAGCATAGTCCAGGCTTATGGGCTTACATACACCACGTTTTAATTTTAATTGAGTTTGCCTGGGGTGCTTTTCGGTTTTAAGTAACAGATATCTGCAGTAGCTGTACTATTGTGGAAGGCTTTTTCCCCCATACTTAATTATTTTGCTAATAGGAACCAGAACAAAATAATCTGGTCATACTTGAAGAGAAATGTTAAGCAGTTTAAAGGAATGAATATCATCAAAAAAGTTAAATTGCACCTGCATACTTCAACCAGTAGTCAGTATCAGTGTATGAGAAGCAAACATTATGATCAAGAATAACTGAATTTTGTCCACAAAATAGAACTAGAATTGGAAACAATTTTTGCTGTGAAATTAAAAAGCCTGACTCACCCTGCACAAAGCAGTATTTTTAATTAGATGTGCCAGCCAAGTATTTGCACGGAAAGTTTTACAGAAATAATACTTGTTCGAATGATGTTTTCATAACAACCCATTTTTATGATGCTTTCTTGAAATTCACTCAATTTTCCTCTAACAAAGCTGCAGACATTTGAAGGAAACATTCCAGAAAACATAAATTCAAGTGTAGTTTAATAACACCTTATCCAAAGCAGGACTAAGATAACATTGTATTTCACATCACAGATTCAGGAAAGGACATGTTGGTATAATGCTGCATTTAAATCACAAATAGAGACAAGGACTTGGAATACAAAGGCCTTATCTAAGTGTTGGTGGTATTATAGGCACCAAATATATTCAGCCTCTCTACCATGTAAGATGTGAAGGGGAAAAAAAAGTTATTGGAGTTTCTTAAAGGGTAACATACACAATCAAACAGCTACAGATAAAAGTCGCTTTACTCCAAGGTGGTAGGAAATGACCACCTTGAGTCAGTAAATGTATAATTACAGTAGCACATTATGTCCAGGTTACTAATTCTTGCCGTGAGAGGGAAAAAATAAGTTATTCTGGACCCACTTCTATGCCAACATACTTATAGGACTCAAGATCAAAACTGACCTTGTTTAAAACTGAAAGCACAAGCAAGTTTTACTTGCTCAAGCAGGCCCTAGGCATTCTTGCACTAAATATAAAAAGTCTAAAATGCAGACAGTACCCTTAGAGCAGAAAACAATTCCTCAGTAACCAAAGCTATTTTCAGACCAAAGAGAAGCTAGGTGGAATAAAGAAATAAAATCCACATCTTAACAGTATGGAGCAAGATCACATGCAGAAGCATGAATAGCAGTCCAGGCTCCAATACTGCCAGATATATAGACTGTGAAACCACACCAACTCCACCCATTAGAGATTGCATGTGCAGAAAGACAACAATTCTAAAATTAACGAAGTTAAAGTAAAGGGAGACAGTCATTTAACTTAGCAGGAAAAAGATTAAAAACATCAGAAAACAAAAGAGAACCCTAGAAAAACACTTGAATTATTGCTGGTATACTAATAAAAGTGTATTTTACACTACATTGGATTATTTGTTTATAAGCATATGATCAATTTAGAATTATTTAGTTCTGTGTGTCATTTAGTCAAAGAAATGAAACTCAGAAAGAAATATCTTTTCCCTCACCGTTTATCAGCTACCTTATTACTTTGTTAGCATCTTGCAGTCTCTTTATTTTTATTCTTTTTTCTCATTACATCTCTTAAAACATCCAGAATCAATGGCAGTTTAAATAGTGCTGCACTGCCATTGACCCTGACATGTAAGTCAGAACACATCGAAAAGTTCACAACCTTGGGAGAATGTATTTTCTCCTCAACTATTGATGTTATCAACCTTCTAACTCACTAGAAGCTGGTATGCAACATACCAGTTTAACACTTAATGAGCTGTTGCACAGAAGAGCCACCTACTTGTAAAGTGTAGTCTAAGTTTCTCTTGTCACTGAGAAGCCATATCTTCCTCATTCTTTGTACTGGTGCAAATCACTATTTTTTCCATACTTGTACCCCTGTCTATCATGTCAACTGAATTCTCATAATTCTATATTCTTCTTAACTGACCTTCCTTGTCTGCACAACAAGACAGTATCAAAGTCAACCATAAGGAGCATCATCTTCTATTCCTGGGTTTTCGCTGGTGGACAGAGGGGCCAGAGCCACAGGAAGGCCCAAGACTGCATAAAATTCTTGACGTTCAGATCTCAGTCTGCATACCTGTACAGTACCACAAGGATGCAAAAAGAAAAAAAAAACCCACCCAAAAAACCAAACCAAACAAATCCACCCATCCAAACAAAAAACACCCAGGCAACACTGCACTTCATAACCACTGAGGGTTATCTCCATTTTATGCCTTTCTGAAGTTACAATGATTCTGGCAGGATTACTACATGCTGCCCTTTTGGCTCCCAAGGCCTCAAGAGGAGCTGTCTATGTACTCCCCTCGTGGAAGCAGACCTCACACTTACCATGGGGTAACAGTAAGCAGATGGGCAGTCACAGCACAGTACCTAACCAGAAGTAAGGCACTCTGTAGTTTACCCCATTGTATCTTGTTGATGTAGCACCATGTTTAACTTCACCACCATTAAAAGCCGTCATCGATCACACTGTGGTTTTGAGTCTGCAGTTATAGAAGACTCTACATTTAACAACTGTCTCAAGTAATGAACAGAGCATCTCTTAATTATCTACAAGAAAAATAAAATTAAGGAATCTATTTTATAATTCTGAGAACTGACATGGCTCCATTTGTAACTCACATTTAAGCATTCAGTCTTTGATGATACAATATTAGCTCTACAATTAACATACTTGTTTGTGAAGAACTGTGCAATGTAAATGCGACCTGAGCTAACACTTGCTACAGTTTACACAAACAGCAAAATAAACATTTCAGGTCTAAACTGTTTAAGTTTGCTGGCAGAGACAGGTGAAGTGTCCAGTTCATGTCTTTGCTTTAAAAAAAAAAAAAAAAAAATCATATAGGGTTTTGAGACATTTTCCTTTTGAGAAATGGAATTAGGTCTATAATCAGATGTTTCCCTGGTGTTGTGTCCACCGCTCCACCCCAAGCCAGCTTCTGGAGTCAATATCCTTCATTACCAGAGGATTCCAAGAACTTAAAAATAACCAGCAGTTATCATATGATCACTGCTCTAATTAGCTTTAGTGTTCAACAGATACGGTTTTGTCAGAACAAAGTAGTACTTAAGAGCAAAAATGAAGACTGTCATACAAACACAAACAATGAACATTAAGTCTTTTTTCTATTTTAAATTATTTCCCACCTCCTGTTTATGCCAATTCCCTCTTAATTCCATCCTCCTGAAAGTGAATCGCTCAACTAACTGCATTTATCATAAAAGCTGCAAAACAGTGTTGAAGGGACTTCAAACATTCATTCAATCTTCCAAAGCCAAACAGGATCAGCTTTCCAGTTCTAGCAGAGACCTGTTATTCTCAAAGATCCTGCAAGAGATTACTTAGCGTTCTCTTCTTTTGACTAGACAGCTCCAGTTTCTAGAAAAAAACCAAGGCTTTTGTGGAAAAAATTAGAAGATTTTTGATCATTTATCTGTCTTTCTTGGAGTTGAGCTGTTTGTTATTTTTCAAATGCAGTGGCCAAGGTGGTATTTTGGCTGAGAGCAATGCTACATAAAGTCAGAGGAGTACTTTACGTATCTTCTGGACAATCTCATTAACACACTCCAGTATGATATTTGCCTTTATTGCAAAAGCATCCCATGACTGTTTCATATTCAGCTTGTGGCCTGCTACAGAATCCAAATGCTTTTCTAAAAGCCTGACACAACCAATTATTCCCTGGCCTGTATTTGTACAGTCAATAATATTTAGTATAGTTAACACCACTGTTAATTTTAATCCTGCTCTCAGAGTGACAATTCTTTTCTGTTTGGTCTCATTTGCAAATTTAAAGAAACAGATTTTATTCTGACAGGTTACTAATGAAAATATCAGTTAGTAATGGATGCAGGGGCAGACACCGAGTCCTTGTCAGTAAATCACATTTTTAAGATAAGCTTCTAACATCTATTCTTTGCAAGTTTTTCCAAACAGTTCTGCTCTCCCCCAACATTTAACTTCATCAAGACCATATTTCTTCAGTTTGGTCATGAAACAGTCAAAAGACTTCTTAAAAAAATGCAGGTCTAAATACTGTTTTGTCATGATAGAAGTGCAGATTTTGGGTTTTGTTATTTAAAAAAAATAGCCAAGTCAACACAAGTCTTAACACTGATGCAAAAGCAACAGAAAGAAGCAAACCTGCTGGTCTAGCTTATTTTGTTCTAACTAGAACCAGAACAGGCTGGCATTCATGGCCGTACAAAGGTTCACCAGCCTACCTATGCCAGCAAAAATTGTTAGGACAATTATTCGGGGTAAACATCATCCTACCCTATTTTGGTTTAAAGTTTAAGTTTTATGTTGTAATATAAATGAAAGAGAAACAGAAGTGTTAATTTCTAAATACTATTTGCTACTCTGTACTCAGTTTTCTAAAGATGTAAAAAGAAAGGAAGGGAAGGACAGTTGAGTGTTGCCCAGGCTTTTTACAATACCACTCGGGATCATTAACCTGCACCTGGAAGGGGATAAAGTTTTGATCCCTCTTCCCCGCCACCCCTCTCCCCAATTAGCAGTTGTACAATGTTGCTCTGAAACAATAAATAGAACTGGTTCTATACAATGCAGCATATGGTCATCAGCACAGTCTATCAGGTACTGCTTTCCATCTTTTATAGTTTCTGAAGTGTGGATATGCACTTGTTTAAATCGACAACTAATGAAGAAGTAAAATAATAAGTTTTATGCCATCTGGTTTAAGAATTAACATCAGAATAAGCATTTTTCCAGCGTCTTCAACTAAATAGCTGGAAAAGCTTTTGAAAGGAGAACACTGCAAGAAAATTGTTATTCTTGATCCCAAGAAGTACACATGGCTTCTCTAGTCATTATTCTGTATTCTCTGATTTACTTTATCAGGTGCTAGTTTCTAAGAGAATACAAGGAAAATGACGGTAAGAAAAAAAGTAGTTGTTTGTTGTTTTTTTTAACTAGTGGAAAAAACCACTTCTCAGTTTCAGATCTCTGAAAAGATCTTCCTTCAAATTAAAACAAAAGAGCTCAGACTATCCTTTCTTCAGCAGGGATACACCAGTGGTTCCAGACTATTTTCAGCATTCCACTCCCAAATTAAACTTCATCTAATACATCAGCTACCTTCCTGCTGTCATGGTGACACAGTTAAAGCATTGAGCAAAAGCTTTCACTGAAGTCTCATGCAAGTCAAGTTCTCTTGCATGCAATTATGCACCAGACGCAAGGAGGAGTAACAACAACGGGACCTGCCATCTGTCTGGCACCTCTTGGCCCTTTCACAACGAACAAAAAACTGCACAACACAAAGTCAGTCTGGTAGGTTCTGGTATCTAGCCATCCAGGCCTCAGTTCAATCCAAGACACAGAGAATTGAAAAGTACCCCTCTTTTTCTACTGATGTAAAACTCCCGACCCCTTGACTTTGCAAACTGAATAGGTACGTGCTTTAATTGAAGCTTTATACTGAGACAGAGCATTTTAGTGCCTCTTACCAGGTGGATTCTCTTCTTAATACGAGTTCATGCTGCAAGGCCCAAACTGGACACTTACTTAAATGTTTACTTTGCAAATCTTGTAGGAACTACAAACAGAAATCAAGTGAGACACAGAGCGAAAACCAAAAACCTTCAATACACAGGCCATCAACTGTTCCTCCTCTGTCCACAAGGAACATTATCCTGTCCTACAGGGTAACAGACAAGCTTGCCAAAAGCTAAGGGAATACTGTTTAGCTGAAATTAAAGTAAGTGCACACAGCTCTGTTGAAAAAAAGTTTCGCATATTAGTTGACAATCAAATTGTAAGAAAATATCAAGCAATGGTCCATGGGAATCTGCCCTGGGTCCAGTACAATTAGTTTTTTCACAGATAACCTGAACAGTGGAACAGTCAGTACTGCCCTTAACTGATCTGCGAACAATGCCAAGCTGGGGAAGGGAGGGAAGATGCTGCAAGAAATCGCAGTATTAGCATTCAATATGATTCGAGAGGGTGTAATTTAGTAAAGAAAAATACAAATATCAGCATTTCCACAGAAGTAATGAATAACACAAATTCAAGAAAACAACTAGCAACTGAGGAAGCCCATAAAAAAGAAGCAGGTAGTTGGGGGGATCACAAGTGAGCATAAATCAATGCCACACCAATTAAAAAAAAAAACCAAACAAGAAAAACCCGC